AAAAAAAAAAAAAAAAAAAATGAGTTTGAGACCAAGAGACTGACTTTCATGATTATAATACATAACTGATACATCTCAACAACATAAAAATTGTAAGGAGAAAATATAACAACAGTGGTATTTCTTGCAAGAGCTGTGTTGGGAGCTAAAAAAGAATATCACAAAATTAGATAAATATATCCAGTCTGACATAAACACCATATGGTAACTGCCTTAAGAGACAGGAGCTGTATGTTATGTGTTAAAATTATGACACAGAGGTAGTAAAAGCTAGAAAGCAAGCAAAATTTGCACAGTTTGGTTTAAAGCTTAGTATTTTATTTTATTTTTCTAGATGAAAAGAATTAAGACTGCAATACTATAGCTTTGGAATGTCTCTCTAGTAAAACTTCACAGAAAGAAGTATTTTTTGCAATGATTTTTCAAAAAAATGACATGATATGCATACACTATTGAGTTTTAGTTTAAAATAAAACTAAATGAAACTACATTTGCAACAACCGTAAATTCAATCATTTCCTTTTTCTTACCCGAGAGGATAAATAATCCCTTAGTAAAATCAGGAATGCTTCAATTGACCACTGTGTCACCATAAGCAACAAGGACATGGAAACCAAATACATCTAGAAAGACTCAGAAATAAGAATTATAACATTCTAGGTCTTCCATAAAAATTACTGTTTTGCAGCAGAAAAATAGCAATAGATGACATATAGGGACAATTTGATGCCTCAAATACTTTTTTAAAGTAGGCAGTGCAAATATTAAAAATCAATAGTATTTACATAACATAAATCTAAAATAGTTCAAAGCACTTGCCTCCAGTAACAAAAGAACTCACCTTCAAAGACAAAACAAAACAAAAAAACATAAAACAAAAAGTTAATGTAATTTTAAATACTCCTCTTTGAGAATAGTGGCATCAGCTCTCTATCCACATCACAGCAGACATGACTGTTCCAAGTGTATCTGTTGAATCTATCATATTTATAGCAATCCTATTTCGTGAACATCTTAGCTGCTGAATCCTGTGGCTTCAGAAAGATAGTAGGAGCTACAGTTATAAAGTACTTTATTTTTTCTACTATTTTGAAATGGCAGTGAAATTTTACCTTTGCAATTTTGGAAATACCTGCCTTCTGAAATCTCATTTAGTAGGAACGCAGTCAGCAAGGGGTTCTACAACAACCAGCTCTGCTCCTCTTGATAAAGGAATAAGTGAAATTTGAGGAAGAACTGAATGAGAAGAGGCAGAGAATGTAAGAGGAATAAAAACAGGAAGCATAAGGAGAAAATAAAGAGAGTAAACATATAATTTTTAAAAATTTAACAGAGGGAGGCCAGGGATTTAGCTCAGTGGCGCCATGCCTGCGTGGCAAGCACGTGGTCCTGAGTTCGATCCCCAGTAACAACAACAACAAAAATTTAACAGAGGGAAGAAAGTGATGGCCAGGAAAAAGGGAAACAGTAAAAAAATCTCTTAGGATACAATAATAAATTTAGCAAATAATCTGAATAATTATACTAACAATGTTACTTTGAAATAAATTTCCAAATAAATTATGCATTTTTCTCTAAAGAATTATCATCTCTATTTTAAAAATAAAGAAACAAAGACTTTTGAAAAGTGAACATGCTTAAAGTTAAATAAAAGGCAAAATATTGGTTTGTCACTGCTTTACAATTAGTCAAGATTACTGAGTATTCATATTTGCAAAAAGACGCACCATATGCTCTTTTAAAAACGCAACACTGCTAGTACATTCAAATCAATGGATTTATAAGAAATTTATCTAACTCCTATAGGTGGTTTGTATGTAAGGATACAAAGACATTAGCTGTCTTTCCTATAATATAAAAATTTTTCATTCAAAATTAAAGCACCACTTTACTTTCCAGAGGTATCAAATTTTAATTCAAATGATTATGAAGTATTAAAAACTACCCACCATAAATAAGCTGGTAACACACTGTGTTGTATGAACTCCCGTTCTTCTCATGACTGCAAATTTTAAAAAGGCAAAATCCACTCTGATAATGTAGATAAATACAACTAATCAATATTAACCATAGTAAAATGTAGTACTTTATACAATAGAAGCATATGTGTCAAAACTGCCAAACACAAGTGGAAATCTAAAGACTCTATTAGGCTGCTGGCAATGCTTTCAAAGAGACCATCTGTAGCAGTTTTCTCCACATGTGTGTAATAGTTTTCTATAAGAAACTATAATCCACAATATTCCAAACCTAAACATTTTGATCCATTCTTGAGCTTCTAAACTACTAGTTAACTTGTGGCAACTGCAGGCAGGCTGGTTCCTGAAAGTGTTCTGTCTTGGCTAAACAAACTTCATCTATAAGTCTCTTTAAGGATTTGGTTGTCCAGCTGAATTACTCTACAATTAGGTTATATTCAGTCATTTTGTAATAACTTCACAACCCTTCATTAATACAAATGTAATAATCACTAATGGGGAATACTTTTGAGTTGTTTTCTAGCATGCTTCAATAATTTATGCTACTTATTGTTTCTTAACTGACCTTTTGACCCGAAGATTACCTGAACTATGATGCCAAATTGTGACAATGAATAAAATACTCTTCAGGTCATGTGAGAAAGAATAAATAACATAGATGTTATTAGCCTGCTACCTAAATTGGATGTTATTTTCCAAAATAAAATATATACATGCAATCGCTCATATCTTCCTTCTGATAATACCTACAATTTAAAGAATATAGTTAAGAATTGATTCAGTAACCACAGAGGGGAAAAAAAACTGGTGAGAGACAACAGATGTTAGCTATTAATCTAATAAAATTAAAAATCAAAGCAAATGAAAAGCAATTCTAAGCCATACTTTACAGCACTTTTTTTTTTCTTTTGGCATTTAATTCCTAATAAATGTATACAGTAAAATTAATAAAACTTTAATGCTAGTTATAAAGAAATACTAAATAAGATCTTTTCTTTCTTGGCAGTGATAGTATTGTTGAAAACTAAAACAGTAAATCTATGCAAGCTAATAATTAGCTTACCTTTATAATGGACAAAACAGAAAAAAGACCTTAAACCAATTGTTGGCATGTGCCTATTGTCCAACAACCTATAAAGCATTTGTACCATTAATGACAAAAAGTGATCATGTGAGGCTTAATTTGCTTAGACTTTTCTAATGTGTACCCAAGGACACAACTGCAGCTGTTCAAGGACTGCTTATGAATTCAGCTGTGCAGCAAAATGAACATACCTTTGAAAGCTTCCTTTTGGAATCTCTCAGCATCTACTAATTTCACAAAACACAGTTCTACTCAGTGAAGAACTCAACTCATACTAACAAGATAAGGGGAATGTGTTAACTTTCTAAGGACTGGAATATTTTAGAAAATACAGCCGAGAAGAATGCTTGATTCAATGGCATATATTGTTAGTAGTGGCTCCTGGAGAGTTATGGGAGATATTCTGGGAAGAAAAATCTGTTAGTTATTGTACCACAGGGACAGCCTACTTACTTACTAAGACAGCATCGATTACTGTATTAACACATTCATCCCATATATGTTTTGAAGTGTAAGGCATGGTTCTGGTACTGAAAACTAATACAGAATTAGTTCAAAATTCTCAGTTATAGAAATGTATGTTGTATATTATTCTTGACTCACACTTAACTTTCACTGGAGAATAATTATACTAATTGCAATTACTCTCTTATTTTTCAAGAACAGATATATTACTTCATGTAAATTCATGGCAATATTTTTAACGTTATTAAAATAGTATACAATTGTTATTCTATCTCAATACTTTATCAGTGATATTTGTATTTTCCAAGTCTCCAGTTTATGATATCCAAATATAGAAAATACACTAAATACACAACTTGAATGCTTCTTTTGTTGTTGTTACAACTGTAAGGAGAATGCTAAAAGCAGAATATATAAAATGATATATTTTACCTTAGTTTTAGGTGAAAATAATAAAATACAAATTCATTGATTCATGTAAATATTACCTCAAAAAAGGCCTTACTGCATGGTTATAGATAATAGCGCAAATTAAATAATTACATAATTACAATATCCACAAAATTGTATCTCATTCATTACTCAATTTTAATAGCTTCTTGTAATTTTATAATTATTCTGGAGAGGCTGAACTTGATAAATACTCTTAAAATCAAAAGCCCTCTAGTATATTAAAATAATATCAATGCCATTATGATATCATATGAAAAAAATCAATATTTTAAGCATCTTGTCTTCACGTAAGTGATTATGAAAATTTAACTGAGAAGAAAAATATAATAGCATAGTCCATTAAATTGAAAATATAGTGAGCTAGGTCAACATCAGTTTTTTTAAAGAAGCAAGTTAATACACTCAAGAGCACTTTTTCTTCTCCACTTGAATAGGAAAGTGAAACAAAATTAGCATTTGACTCCATAATTCCATTAGTTACTACACTTCTAAATGCTTCAGTTTCTCCAAAAGTATACCTGTCACTGTTTTTTTAATATACATCCATGTGTACACACACACACACACACACATTTTATACTTGTAGGAGAGTGTAGTTATTTTTCTTCTTGAGAAGACATTACAACATAAAGCACATAAATCAACAAAACCTCACAGGCAAAATTTTAGGACACCTGAAATCATTTTGCCTGGGTTGCAATTCAAAGACAATGACAAATGTTAGTCACAAGAAAAAAGCAGTACAAGATATAAAATACAAAAAGTCTTTAAAATTCAGACAGCAAATATAAAAACAGACAAGGGAAAGCTTAAAGAGATATTTAAAGAAATGAGGTATGATGGAGTCAGTGCTACAATATATCTTAATGAATCAAATCAGTAACTTATATTCCAAAGCTGCAAAATCAGCAAATCATAAACTATTTACTGCTGTGTTCACATGACCTTTCTGGTCAAATGTTTAATGATCATTGATAATACATTTAAAATAAGCATGAAGCTAACTGATGACAAGGTAAAGCCTGCCTGCACATAAGAAGACAAATTAGAAGTAAAAATGTAAGCAAACAATTTTGTATTAATAAATACAGCTTCAAGCATTTAACATTATCAATATTTAAAAAATTTAAACAATAAATGCAACTATTTTATATAGAACTGTACTATTTATTATACACACAGTTATATCAGTTCCCTTTGTTTAGAAAGGCTGGTTGTAAATAATATGGAATGTTACAGTACCATCTTGCATAAAATTTTAGTACAATTTTGCACTTGAAAAAGCGTGCAAAAATACCAGCCTAATAAATCTGAATTGAAATATCTTTTCTTTCATTTTAAAAAGTACATCATTAACACATACACCACAAACTGTACATAAGCTCACTTTTGAATCACCAATTAAAAGATATGGTAGCAGCTATTTTGTGGTATTAACTTTCCCTCCCACCAGTTTAACTTATGAAAGGCTCACAGGGCTACTCATTCGGAAGCCTTTGTTGCTGTGTAAGCTTATAATATGAATTACTGAACCCAGGTAATGACAATTAAAAGGTGGCAAACAACAGCTGCCAAGAATTTTTTGTAGTATGAAATGTCCTTCTTATAGAAGACTCAGGAGAATATCATAAGGGTATCTTTCTTCCTTCAAATATACTGCAGATGATCAAGATTCTCCATTTTGAACTTTGGATGCTGGTGGATGCATGAAATCCTTAAAGGGAACCAGTGCCTCTTTAAGTGCAGAACAGACTTCCGAAGATGAGCAGGTGATACATTCTACTAAAGTTGGGTATAAGGCAATTACTTGTGCCCAGGTATTCCCATCAACTGTAACATAAGAAGTATAAAAATATCAAAATAGGATAGATTTAAACAGCAAAGATTATCCAATTAATATAAACACAATCAATGTTAAATGCAAAGGAAGGACAAAATTCTGAAACATTCAGCTTCTACCATCTGGTTTCTTCTTTTTAAAAAATCTTTGAAAGATTTCCTACTATATTTAATAAGACATGGATAAAAACATGGTTTTTGTGTTGAGTTCTCAATACCAGCAAATTTGATAAGGAACATTATAAATGATAATTTACGAAAGCACTGGAAGCCAATAAATTAACTTAGAATCATCCAAACCTTTGCTATTTTCAGTGTAGTTTCTAGAGAATATAATGTACACTGAAGAACAATTAGAAAACATTTCTTTTTCCAGTTGTCTACTAAAAATATAAATACTGATTTCCTAGTAATGTCTTTGATAGTAATTTCAATTTCAAATTACCAAACATAGATCTAGTTACAGTTGTACCTTGGCATTCATCTGCTTTGAAACTCATCAAATCTGGTATGCAATGCATTTTGACAAGAAAATTGTATTTCAGTACTCTTTTGTTTCATTCAGAAGCCCAAGCCAGAACTTGCAGATGTCAACTGCCTTGTGACTCACTACCCTTTCCGGCCAAATTTGTTTACTACTTCATTTTTGGTACTCATCAAGCCTCCCCAAACCAATTAAAGACAAATACTGAAGCCAGGCATGGTGGTACACAACTGAAATCCCAGTACTCAGGAGGCTGAGGCAGGAGGATCAATGTGAGTTTGAGACCAACCTGGGCTACACAGTGAGTTCCAGGTCAGTCTCAACTACATAGTGAGACCCTGTCTCAAAAAAAAAAAAAAAAAAAACAAAAACT